ATTTATCCAGCATAATTTTGAATTGGCGTCATCAACCTTTTCAATGCAAGTTTTCGGTGTATTATGGTGTTGTACGTATATTTTTCCCAAAAATCTGGATTCTAAAGTAAAATGTCAAGGCGGTTTCATAAAGCAAAATTTTAGATATCATTAATTGTTGGTGAGGATGACCATACAAGTTTTGGTTAACATTTTACCATCTATATCTATACAGTATTCCTTAAATATATACACATAAAATTTCACACCAATCATTATCAGTAGTTTCGGAGATTACTACTACTTTTTCATACCGTAGAAAATTAGATGAAGTTAGCCATGAGGCGGAAGTACCCATTACCCTAGGTTATGATCGGAAAGTAAGAAACATGTTTCAACATCTCATTATTTTGTTAAAAAAAATAGTAACATATTAAAATTAAGGAATAAAAAAAATAATTAAATTTTTGCAATAGCGTTCATTCCTCCTGATATTTCACAAAACCGAGTGAAGGAATAGTGCCAAGTTTCCTTTGTTCCTCGCATTAAACATTATGTAAGAAAAAAAATTCCATACAAGTATCCATCAGCCTACATTAGATTTTGGAATAGAAAAAATCACTGTTGACAAAATATTTATGAAAAATATGTAACGCCCGTATAAAATACGCCCAGAATTTTTCAAAGAAATAGTGTCCAACTTTTGGTGGTCAAATTCTTTTTCGGATGCACTTGAATTTTTTAATAAATTATTTGGTCTTTTCTCATGTTTTCTACATGATGAAAATCCCGATGTCCCATAGCCAGATTTGTTTGATAATCCACCACATTATGCTATTGAAATTCGGTAGCACGGTTCGGTAGTCATTACATAAAATTGTTCCGAATGAATGAACGGAAACACGTCACCCTATGAAGTAGTAATTTAAATCTTCCAACTTAAGACCATTGCACATTTTTAAGGTTTCTATAAGTGAAGAGAAATAGTATATTACATAACGAGTGTGGTAAATAGTTTATTACGCGCGAGTTGAAAAATTGCGCACGAGCCCCGTAGGGGCGAGTGCAGTAATTCAACTTATTCAACGAGCGCGTAATGAGCGTTTGCACACGAGTCGTGTACTATACTTTTTCCACGACCACACCTCAAAAATATTTCAATGTGAAAGAAGTTAATATTTGATTTTAGCTATGTATTAACTACAAAATATAATTATACATTGAAAATGTTAACAATTAATTATTTGCATTGGTATGAAAGTTAATCGTAAAGTTTTGACATTTTTTTGTAATTATTGGCGTTCCAGTTTTTTCTAGAACAGTAGTAGTACATTTCTCTAATAGTGCAGTTGTAAGTGCCAATATGGCCGTTGGTGTTGAAGGCATCTCTTGAAAATTTTCAGTTCCAGACAATTCTGCTTTAAGAAAATGAAAATTATGTACAATCGGTGGACATATAAGACTGGTACAAAGAAATTTTTCTAATGATTATCAAGCTTGATTCCCGGGATCATTGTCGGCCAAATATGCGTTAGTGATTGTTATTTTATTTAAAGAAACATTCACTATTGATACAAATATACAAATTAGCTAAAAAAAGACAAATATCTAAATTTCTAAAGTGGTTTTGGGAAATATCTCAGGATTTCAGGGTGGCCTGGGTTTTTTGCCGGTCAGTGTATATTGAAGTAACGTAAATTTGTGTACATTTGTGAACTATTTCAAACAACTAAAAATAGTAAAAGATTTAGTATCAAGTTAATGAGTAGTTGGATTAAAATGTAATACAACAGAAATTGAACAAAAACGATTCGTTCATTTTAATCTTAATATTTAATTACAATTCAATTATTTAAATAACCCATTTATAAGCAAATAGAAATTCTTTTTCTTGTATACTTTAATTTCACGTAACGATGAACTACAATATTTTACTTTGCTGACCGCTTTAATGATACTTCGAAAACTGGACTTTTTTTAATAATCGTTCTACAAAAGTAAATATTAGTGACAGCAACCTTGCATGTAAGCCAAGCTGTGTTGTATAGTAATTCTGCGTTTGTGAAATTATTTTGCTGCAAGTGATCTTATAATTTGGAAGTATATATGTATGTATAAAAATTGCAAGTAATAACAAAATTTAAATTACACTGTTCACTTTACTAGCATAGAAAAAAGAAACATTTAATATTTTTCAACAATCTCACGCGTTTTGTACAAAGATATTTAAGAGATAGGAGGGTTAAAACATAATTTTTGGTAACTTAGTTTAATAGTTTTTACCACATATGTATTTTAGTAACTACACATATCACTATATATCACATAATAGAAAAAACAACTTCCTTGTAAGATTTCACTTCATTTTTTGTTCGTGTATATATTTTGAGATATTTTTATTTCCTGAGCGTAAGCTGGGGTAATAGGGTCCATCCGACGAACAACTACTTTTCATGACGTTTTATGACCCCAACAGTATGAAAAAGTAGGTCCCTGTTTCCGTGTGTCTGTCCCTGGACTTATTGTTGTGAAATTTTAAAATTAAAATTAAATGGTAAAACGCTAACCAAAATTTGTCTGATCATCCTCACCACAATTTGATAACGTCATCACAAAATTTTACTGTAAAAAAACTCACTTGAAGCACGAACATAGCTTGTTTCTTTACGTGTGCTTCAACAGTTCACACATATCTTTATTTTATTTAACTTTAGAGGTTATAAAAAATCCCAAAATCAAATTTTATATTTTTTCTAGGAAACTGGATTTATTTTATTGTACTTGGGGGTGAGGAAATTTCGTGTAATAAGTTGTTTTGTGTATACTTTTTCTGTATTTTTTCTATCAGTACGGGGAATATGTTAAACCCCAAAACTCCTCACGAATCACAGACCATGCAATTGAAAACAGTAAACTCGAGTGAATAGTTACCTTAATTAAGCTGCAAAAATAAATACCAACAGTGAATCACAGTGTATAATAAGCGCATCAAACCGTATTTACATGTAGAGATTTGAATTTATTTTTGCCATATGATATTACTCTCCCGACACGAGAGAACATGGTTAGCATATGAATAACATGTTGTCGTCTGGGACTGATCTAATTAGTTCTTTAAAAAATATGTCAAGTACATATTACCTCCAAGAAAATAACAGCTTGTCATATCGATAATCACATTCGTTTTAAGATTTTCGATAGAACGGGGAAGTAAACACGTTTTCACAGCTGCTAAAAATATCTCTCTAATTAGAAAACCAAAAAGTTATCTTAATTAACGTCTTTTCTATGTCACGCAGCAAAAACGCACAATAAATAAGGGCAGCAAATTAATTATGAACTGTAGATCAGTGTAGGCGGGATCAGCGTTGAAGCGAAATGAATTTTAATTTTGTTTACCAATGTGCGGTCATCAAATTTAAAAAAAAAACGAGTTTGACGTGGAACTTGTAGACTTTTATTGGTTACTGTTACATTACATTGACGTCACACTAAACAATATAATCATTAAATGCACAAACCAAAAACCGATAAATTGATACAAATCCAAGTCTGAAGATACCTCAACCCCATGTGTACACATTATTTATTTCATTGAGAAATGTGTTTATATATCAATCAAAAACTAATTGCTTTCCCTAAATTTTTAATATAGTATTTGATAACAACTTTTTTTAATTTATAATCGAGTTCCTTCTCGGGATCAATACCTCTTTATCTTGAAGAGACACAATTTTACGATACAAGAAATGAGGAAATAGGAACACAGAGCAATAACAAAATATATCTACGTCTGAGGTGTCTGTATAAAGTATGTTTCAAACATGCTATGAGATGCATAACACCCTTTGTAATTATAATAAGGAGGATGTTTGAGCTATACGAAAAATACCTATTTTTTGTTTAAAAATTATTTAACAAAGTCAGATTTTTATATTCATCGTTTGTTGAACTAGTTAATCTCTAAGGACATATAATTTCTTATTAAAAAAAATCATGGCTTTTTGATTTGATGGGTTCTGACACAATACTAGATGAAATCAGGTCAGATTAGGTTAGGTTAAGTTGGGTTGGTATTGTCCAGATAATGCCCAAAGTGGTTGGCAAAACACGTCCACAATTTTTGTAATATTGAATTTCGAAGTGATAAGGGTAATCAACGTTGTGCTATTTTTAGGTCTGGTGACAAAAGGGATGCCACTATTTTAGTTGTGTTATTAGACCGCTCAAAAACCCTTGCTGTCATTTACTATCATATGTGTAGTTATGTACTAAATTAGTAGTTTCATTTTTCATATCGTAAGCTGACAGACCACAATCAAACTAGTGCTACTTTTTCAAATAATTTCCTCTATTCCCCAGGGATCCATTTTGGGGCCCCTTTTATTTTGTATTTAGATAACCGACTTGCATATTATTATTTTGTCAGGTCAAACAAAAAGGTTTGCTTACGCAGATGATACCCGGCGTTATTTGCACTCTAATCCTTGAGGTGTAAATAAAGCGTGCAATAGTGTTAACCAAAATTTATATAACCATAAAATTTGAGGGTGGTTAAAAAACGCTCCTGTCTTTAAGTATAACTTCATCTTCGAAATGTTTATTACTTATTCACCGCCATATATAAGAGAGAAATTTCATTCTAGATGGAACCTACATATTGTTCCGGTGCATTATGTTAATGCGCTTTCCATGCCACCGTTTAGAACTACACTATTTAAAAGTTTGATTATTTTCAATCCAGTGTAACTTGAAATAGCTTTCGCTCAAAACAACTAAAATAAAGAAACTCTTTTCTTGTTTCAAGCTCCTTTAGTTTTACAATTTAATTAGTTTTGTTAGCCTTTCCCTATATTTTTTCTGTTATAACTATTTTTGTTCCGGGTAACCTTATAGTATTCATGTTGCTTTTCTTGTGTTAGGTGTATTAACATTTTTATTTTTTACAGTGTAAAAATATGCATTGTATTTAAGCAGAGGTTTAGTGTGAATAATTCAAATTCTTTTTTTCTTTGTTATAGGTACTTAGTGAAGGTTGGGCTTCGCCTTTAAAAGGGTTCATGCGCGAAGACCAGTTTCTCCAAACCCTTCACTTTAACTGTTTACTCAATGAAGTAAACAGTACAAATCAATCCATCCCCATCGTTTTGCCAGTATCAACATCCGATAAAGAACGTCTTGATGGAACGTCTGCTATTTCCCTTTATAACAATGGCATATGCTACGCAATTATGCGAAAACCCGAATTTTACTATCACCGAAAAGAAGAACGAGTTTCAAGACAGTTTGGAATCACCAACAAAGATCACCCTTACATAAAAATGGTGTACGAATCCGGTGATTGGTTAGTTGGAGGTGAACTTGAAGTCTTGAAGAGAGTTCAATGGGGAGACGATTTAGACGTCTTTAGACTCACCCCGAACGAGTTAAGACGAAAATTTAAAATAATGGGTGCGGACGCTGTCTTTGCATTTCAGCTTCGCAATCCCATACACAATGGACATGCCTTGTTAATGACGGATACCAAAAGGCAACTTAAAGACAGGGGCTACCGCAATCCGGTTCTTCTCTTGCATCCTCTCGGTGGCTGGACTAAAGATGACGATGTTCCTTTGCATACACGAATGCTGCAGCATCAAGCGGTATTGAATGACGGGCTTTTGGATCGACGCTCGACTGTTTTGGCAATATTCCCCAGTCCCATGATGTACGCCGGGCCAACGGAAGTACAGTGGCACGCAAAGGCGCGCATGAACGCCGGGGCAAACTTCTACATTGTAGGTAGAGATCCCGCAGGAATGCCTCATCCCGCTGGGAAAGAAGCAACCCCAGATGGCAATTTGTACGATGTGACGCATGGCTCACGCGTTTTGAAGATGGCACCAGGGCTGAATTTGCTGGAGATCATACCATTCCGGGTAGCAGCGTACGACTGCAAAAATAAACGAATGGATTTCTTTGACGCTACCAGGAAAGAGGATTTCGAATTCATTTCTGGTACGAAGATGCGGGCTCTTGCCAGAAGCGGTGAAAACCCACCAGATGGGTTTATGGCACCCAAGGCTTGGGAAGTTCTAGCCGATTACTACCAATCCTTAATGAAAGATAAATATTAAGGAAATCGAAAATGTCTTATTTTCATTTAGCCGCAATTTGTTATATCCTCTGGCCAGAACTAACTATAGATATATTTAAATTGTGTATGCTTATTATAGGACATTTAAAATGAAAAAAGTGAACATTGTCGAATTTCTTAACCATAAGCTTTGAAGCGTTGCACTAAAAAATAAGCTGATTAATATCACAAAGTAGTTCGTTAATAAAATATGACAGCGATTCTATAGTTCATTGTTTCTTTAGTGTTAAAACTATTGGTCGGTTTTGTGACATTTTTTGGTACAATGCTTTTATGATGCTTTCACTTATCGTAATTTTTGTTTCTTTATAATGCTTACAAATCTCTTTTTGTTTTAATATATCTTAAAAACCATAAAACAATCGCGATTGGCATTTAAATCGTTCTATCCACCCATATCGTGCGAGCAAGAAAATTTAAGTTGAACTATTTTTAGATTTGAATTCATATATATGTATGTTAAATTTAGTGGCGGATTAACCGGACGGACAAGAAGGTAGCAATACAATAATGTTAAGAATAATACAAAATTACAAAAAGCAAAAAATGTAGCAAATTGCTTGGCCTAAACTGGTGGTTGGTTCCCGCCGCTTAGATTCGCCACTGACTAAATCCAGTGCTTATTATTAATGGAATTATGATTTATGACGTTAATACAGATTCACAATTTTCAATCCAAAGATCGTCATGGCATAATAACCTTTAAATTAGTTATGATCTTGCCATGTATTCATTTCAAATTCTGAATAAAAACTTGCATCTCAGATGTGTTCAAACATTAATTGTTCTTATGTATTTTATGCATTTTTATGTATCTTCAGTTTTTCTGAATTTTATCTCAACATTTGTAATTCTACTTCGTATTTTAAATTTCATTAACATTTTTATTTTATATATAAGTGATACTGTGTAATTTTTTAGCTAATGAGTCTAACACATATTTGGCTATTTAAAATTTCTATTAAAAATACCGATAAACTGCAGTATTTGTTGGATTCATTAAATATTTAAAATTATCCATTCCATATTCGCAATATATAAATCCTTATTTTATGTAGTCCTATATTCCACTTGTATTTGTTATGTTTTAAATATATTTTATTGTAATGTATGTTTTTCTAACCTTCAGTAGTTCACAAAACCATGTGACATCAAATTTACCGTAAATTGTAACGTTGAAAAATTGTATTCGTCGTACCCACACGGCACAATATAATTATTATAATTGGCCAATATTTGCAATTAGCCACACAGATTAGACACAAATTCGAGATTAGTAAATGTGTGTGCAACGTGGTGATGCTAATGATTATGACAACAAACACAAAATTTGCTGGGAAATTACCCTGTATTTAAAATTTTCGAATACACACAACTATTTTTTTGCTTATGTCGATGCAAATTAATAATAATAACAATCAATTTTTTAGGAAAGTGAAACTTTTTAACGAACACAGTTCTACTCTCGAGGCAGCATTTTCTTTCAAATTTACACTACACTGAATAAATTGCTATTCTCGTATGTAAGAAGTAATATATCAAAATGAGAGAATTGGATTTTTTATTAACATCAAAAATGTATTTAAAATATGAGACTAAACGATAATTTGATGTTCTAAGCAACTTACTGCGTCCTCATGACAAATCTTACAGGCAAATTTTTAATTTCATGGGTCGAATTTTCCACATCTGTAGTAAGAGATGCAAAATCTTTTTTATAAAGTCATACATAAATTGAAAGATTTAAGTTTTAAAGTTCTTCCAGGCGGTGTTAATTAATTTATATTCGTCGACCTCCAAAACCGTCGGACCTTACACCACATAATTTTGTTTCTGTGACCTCATTTACAAAGGAGTAAAAAACCAAGTCCATTGGCAATGTCAATATTTAAAATAAGATATTCGTTTAAGAATAATAAGTAAAAAACTGTCAATAAAACGGAATTTTATTCAGAAGAATGAGTCAAATCCATATTTTATTTCTCATCTCTGACGTAAAATTTGATTTGCGAATTAAATCTTTTTATGATATTGATTAAAATAAAGATATGTGTGTAATGTTAAAGTAAAATATGTAGTGTTAAAATAATGGTAAAGAAGCGTGCTATGCGTATGTTTTAAGTGAGTTTTTCCATTACAATTTTTTTTGATGACGTCATGGACATTTTAGCAAGGACACATATATCACTACTAATAGCAGTACTGTATTCTCAAATTTTCATCAAAATAGAGTGAACCATTTAATAAAATAAATTGCTTAATTCTTTTTTGAGTCACCCTGCAAAAATAATTCCAAATATGTAATATGAATGCATTAATAAATGTATAGACTCATTATCTTTTGCACATTTTAGACAATAGTTATAGGTACCTCTTTCAAAATTTTGAGATGGCGTTATCAAGTTTTTGAGGGGGATAAACTGATGAATTTTGATGACCAGTTTACCATACGATTACGCGAAAATAAAACGTTTGCAAGATTTGAGAGCATTCATTCTGCAGTTTCAAGTTAAATTTTAAAATGTTATCGCAATTTTGATTTTTTTTGAAAAGCCTGGATATGTATGTTATTATATAAGGTGATCAGAAAAAATTTGGGTAGCACCCAATTTTATTCTGGCAACACTATCCAAAGGAATTATAAGCAGTAGATACAGTACCTTTTTTTAACACTGGTCATAGGGCTTTAAATGCTAAATATTTTGGGTCGTGTGAATGAGTTTTCAGCAAAGATTTTCAAGTGAAATTCAATTTCAGTTCGTTTTATCGCACAGAACAAAATAATTACGGGATTAGGTATAACAAAAATAAATGTATTAAATTTGCCAGAAAATCACAGGAACTTGTCACGAACGAATTTAATGTACTGTTGCGAAGTAGACCCATACGACGCCTGTGGGTTTTCTAGTATGTGTGGCGATGGTGGATCACTCACGGCCGGACGGTCTTCGCTAATGAAGAGTCTCAAAGCGGAAGTCGCGGTGGGTGCTCCAGACAAATCTCGAAGCGGGGACGGAGGCGTTTCGAGAAGGGCCGTGTGGCTCTTTAAATGGGAAGCACTGTCGGGAGCAGTTAGTTATGACAATGGGAGAAGTAGAGTCTAGTCAAATCCATTCCAGTCGGAATTATTTTGTACATAATCGCTGTGTAATTCGTTCTAGGAAGTTTGAATTTCCTGCTGAAGTCGAGCCAAAATGTGTGGAGGGTTCTATACATTTATTAATCGTCGGCCCATCATATCTCACACACCTGCTATGGGATTTAGATCGGGAGATCGAGGTGGCGAAGGTAAAATATCGATGCCACATGGAGTAGTTTAACAATCCACTCCCAAAGATATTCGAAATAAAAAAATAAAAAGTCTTTGTCTTTCACCTGTCGTCTTCATTTAAATTTGCGCAATTTTGTATAGGAGTTATCGTAAAAATAAAATTTAGATAATCAAATTTTATAACTAAGAAATTGGACTTCTTTGATTGTACTTTAAGGAAGTTTTGTCTAAATAACATTATACCAGTTTATTTAATGGTGGGTTGCAATACAGTAGAAGGTTCAAAAGCGGTAACAACAGCCTGGTAGGAGTTCTACTTCGGTACTACTTGGCTCAAATGTTTTAGAATTTTACAGAAAAAACTGAAAAAGCAGCCAAGCTGGGTATTTAGTGAATACTCCTGCACAACAACAATTTGTTCTGATACATTGCATTACAGACAACATCCAAATATTCCATGTGATTTTTACTTAGAAAGTAAAAGCAAAGCAAAGTAAGTAAATATTGTAATAAAGTCTATCCAACGAATCACTACTTTTAGGTTTTATCGACGTTTCATGGCCCGTTTCCGTCTGTCTGTTGTCTATTGTCTGCCGCCTGTATCTATTTTAGTGAATAGATAATCCCCGAACCGAGTAAAAAGTTTTTATGTATATTTGGAATAGAATCTAGATAGTAAAACGCTAACCAAAATTTTGCTAATCATCCCTACCGCCAATGGGATGACGTCATCTCCAAAATTTACAATAGTACTTTTGGTTTAATTTTATAAGGTGTATTTTGAGTGTATGAATCTGTATTGAGTTTTCACCCTAGACATCCAGATTTTTGGGAAAAAAATCAAAATTGTATAATAAAATTTTGCAGTTTAATTTTGAAACTGCAAAACCGAGTGCTCTAAAATATTGCAGTAACGATGGTAAATCTTTAATGAAAATTTATTCGTTTATTCCCTCCCAAAAAATTGATGACGTCGCGTCGTCTCAAAATTGTATCGAATAAATCTTATCGAAAATGTGCAGAATTCATACAAAAGTCTATACTTGTGTTGTATCGTTCCATTCATATTGTTATAATTGCTTATACAGGAGAGGTGACTAAAAAAATAATGATTGTGTCAATTTATTTTATTAATTACATCAGGAACTGCAAAATTGAATGCTTTGAAATCTTACAGACGTTTTAAAGGTATCGTTGGTATGATAAATGTAAAATCAAAATGTATCTGTTTATCCCCTCCGAAAAAATCATGACGTCATTTCAAAGTTTTGCCGAATAAATTCCACCTAAAATGTGCAAAATATGATCAGTCTAAACTTGTGATTTATCAAAGCGGGATTTGTTGGGCTGCACAAAGGGGCCAGCGAAGTTCTGTCGAAACAAACTTGACCTTTCTTTTTGTATTTCTTGATCCATACAAAAAAATGCCACTATATTTTTCGTTGCATAGAAAAATGGTGGAAATGTGTCAATGAACAAAGCCAATAGTTACTTCAAGTCACCCTACTCCAATGCTTCTAGTCTACAATACCTTCTATTATTGTAGTCAAAAATTTGCTCGGGTTGCGTATTTTGGGTTGTATAATCAAGTAGAACCAAATGACCTTTTACTTTTTGACAGATGACAGTTGATGACTTAGAGGTTAAATTCCTTCAAAGTTTGTTCAAAAGAAAAAACAAAAAAGTAAAATGTTGAACTATGAAGATGTGTTAACAGGACTGCTATTTTTACCGGCGGTGTATATGTGGAAAAACTTTTACTATACGTATAAAACAGTCAATCAGCGGTACAAAGAAGAAGAACTTTTTCAAAAAAGGCACAATTGTGTTGTTATGTACTCGAAGACACATATGAGAGGATGGCCTCCCGAATATAGTCTCACAATAGATAAAACTAACTTGGATCGTTTTTTAGAACCTTATATATATTTTATAAATACTGCAAAACACAGCTTAAACATAGCAATGATGAGAATTGCAATAAATCCATTATTCGAAGCTTTACACGAAGCAGTTCAAAGAGGTGTAAAAGTAAGATTAATTGTTAATTTTCAGTCCATTAGATCTGCGAGACAGCAATTTCAAAAACTGTTAAAATCAGGTGAGTACATTACATTCTGTTCTAAATGAAATCATATATTTTTTCAGGTATTAAAGTTGCATTCTATGTTGATAAGACAGAAAAATTAAATAATATTATGCATTGCAAATATATGATAAAAGACTATGATATAGAAAATGGATACCTTTGTATGGGTTCCATGAACTTTACAAGTTTGACCACAATGCTGAATAACTTTGAAGATGTTACATTTACTTCAAATGTTGGTGTCATAGGGGAATTCCACAAAAACTTTGAAAATGCGTGGGATATGATCAACAGGGATAATAGGAATGTCTTTAACAAAACTGTTTTAAGAGAATTTGGATTTTTGGAATAAACTTCTTTTTTTATTTTGAAGTAAGTTTTTTTTTATTTACCAGAGAGACGACCCTTAAATTGAGCTAACTCAATTTTATATATGTTTATATTTGTATAAATACAATTTACTCTCAAGTGCGTCCAACTTTTTTAAATACATGGAATATTTTACATTTAAAAAGACTTGTTAACACGATGTTATTTTTATAATAAAACTTTATTTAAAACTTTTTAATACATTTTATTTAGGCAGTTTTTTAAACATCTGGGCGGTTACATTGGACAGTTAATAATTTATATCTGCAGTATTAATTTTTTTAGGCAGTAACTAAATAAATGTGGCAGTAAAACTTGGCCAGTCTTATAAAATAATTTGATTAGTTATTTAATCCTACATAGGCAGTGCAATTATTATTTGAGCGGTAAAATGATTGAATGAGCAGTTAAAAATATATACGAATAAATACTTTTGCAGTAAAATGTTTTCTTTATTTCACTAAAAATCGAGAATATATTAAAAATACGACTAGATTTCATCAGTCGCGTAAAATTAAAATTAATTCAATTATAAAATTAATTAATCGTGAATACCGCCTCACTTATACACATTCTTCTTAGTAACTATTGTTAGTTTTCATTTATTCCACTATATAAGTGCATAGTTCAACCAATAGTTAACGTATGAATATTTATGGAACTGCTTACCTCACTAGTTATAACGGGCGGAACCTGATTTGGTAACTGCTTGCGTATAACTGCCCATTTATTTATTCTACCACCCAACTAGATTTTCACGCATTCAGATATTTATTGAGGTACTCATTTCAAAATATGTCTCCCCGTTTTTATTTTTTTTGCTGCTCGTATTTTACCGCTCATTATGTTATTAAACATACGATTTGTTTTTTTATTCTCGCCCAAACTGTAATATATTACTGACCGTTTTAAATTTTTATTGAAATTTTGACATTGGAAAATTTCTAAATTTTAAAAAAGGCGTCATGAGTTTAAGAAGTGTGCGAATCAGAACGTTGTACGTGCGCATGAATCTGAACGTAATCAAAATTTTTGGTGAGGATGATCAGAAAAGGTAGGGTTAACGTTTTATAGTTCCGCGATATTATTTTAAAATACAAAAATTTCACATCAATCGATCTATTAGTAATCGTTAGTACGCAGACACGAAAACTGGAGACCTACTGTTTCATTTTCTGTAGGAGTCATGAAACGTCGAGAAAGCATTAAATTAGCAATCGACCAAATGGACCCTATTACATATACTACCATAATTTCGTACTCTGCGTTGGAAAAGTAAAAATCATACTTTTTATTACAATTTATTCTAAAAGCAACGAATGGTCCGAATTCTTGCAGAAGGCTCAACGTCTTTATATTCATGTCTGCATGGATGTTAGCTGATATTTAGATATTACAAAAATATATTTAGGCCCTTGTTATCTTTTACGAATCAAACAGCCCACAGTTAATTGCAAATAAGTTCACTAGCAAGTACCTTAATTACACGTACCTATGTGGATTTTTCAGATCTGAAAATAACTACGTATGATCTCTTTTCTGCTGTGAAATCACAAATTTTTCAACAGCTGAAATCAGAATAAGTAGGTAATAATAGGCATTAAAAGAAACAAACCAGTCAAACGCAGCAAATTTGCAAGTATTGATCAAATCTTTTCATCTAGGTAGGTAACTAGTAGTAACAGATTAATATTTGACATTGTAGTTCAACCTCTAATCTTTCGTCAGTTTGATAGTTATTGTAATACAAAAAAATGGCTGTTGGAACAATTAAAGCGTTATCAACTTTACCCACGCCTTACCGGCCCCACGACTACGCTTATGGTTAGTTAGTAAATTACAAATTTCATCTTTAACAAAATCTACTTTCGAATTTCTGTTACAGATCCTTTATTTTTGGTTTCTGGTCCAAAAGACCATTATAAAGCAGCAATACTGGCAAAATTATCCACTGCCAAATTTGTAAGCTTCATTTTCTTTATCTCCATTCCCTAATTGCCATTACATTTTCAGCAAATATGTCCAATTTTCGCAAACATGTTTTCGGATTTACCAAATCACCCCCGCAAACACTATGTGCGGCGTGAATCTGCAAAACTACCAGCATCTCTCAGGGCTTACAAATCCAGACTTCATACAAAGTTAGATCATGTCTACTCCAGACCAGTCGATGTAGTTGGAGCCGACCGCTATAAATACTTTGATATTCCAAAAACTAGCATAGGTTCAGACTTTATCCCAAAACTACCACTTTTTATAACCACACCCAGAGAAAAACTAATGAAGGCCAGGCCCGAACAAAAACGTAAAAATAAAATGATACAAACTGTATTTAGAGAAACGTCGGTTCAAACATCCCCGTGGGAACCTCCTTACGTCGTCACTGGAGATACGTCTCCTGAATTACTGAAACTCGATTTTCTTAAGTGGGGTAGGTACTACTCGATGTTATTGTTCGAGGAGTGAATTTTTTTCATGGAATACGTTGTAGGTAGTGGGTTACCACCTGGTATGCATGAGGTGCAATTACTTGAACGAGCAAGAATGAAACGAGCTTGGGAAGAAAGGTGTGAGGTGAGAACTGAAGAAGAAATGGAAAAACGAATAGATGTCATTGCGGCCATGGAGCGTGACGAATGGGCATTTAGAGAACAGGTACCTACCTACCTACCCAATGCCTACACCTGTTTTCGAATACTGCATGAACTTATATTAATTTCTTGAATGTTTTAAAAATTGTTTATGTTAAGTATTTATTATCTTAATTAGGAAATACAAGATATTCAAGATCTCCGACTAAAACTGTTGGAAAATATGTTAAATGAACTACATGAAAAGTCCAACACAAGAAGTGAATCTAAACTTAAAGTGTTTGCCGAAATGAAGTATGCTGAAAGAGATCAAAAATTAAAAAAGCTTCGCGACAAAACAAGAAGAGGTACAACGTTGCTGCGGGCCCTCAAATACACTGAATAATTTTTATTTTAGAAATTAGAAAGCTAGATTTGAAGCATACCGGCGTAAACGTTAAATATCACTCCGTTAATGTAGGTGAGGAACACATAAATCACACTTCTGAAATCTACGGGCCTTTCATGAGGCACGGAGAGCACCCGAAACGTTGGCACCTAGTCATTGATGAAGCCATTACAAGATATAAAGCTCAATTCGCCGGTAACTATATTGCTATTGAAATTTTGACCTATATTTCTAACTTCATTAAATAGGCGTTGAAGATTTCAACACTTTACCACAATGGCTCAACAGAGCAACTAAAATTAAAGACTGTGTGTGTTTGAAAATGAAAGGAACACGTTTATGCATGAGGGAAACGAAATGGACGGCACCTGTACTTAAAAAACTTCATGAAGAGTTACTGGGTATGATAATCGCACTATATACCATTGGAAAGCCCTCAAAATTTTCAAGCACATCAGGGTTAGTGTGGCATGCAAAATGTTCCTAAGTTCGAATGTTTCTTTTACACTCACTGTCAAAATTTGATGAATTAACAACTACTTTATCATTGGCTCAGATGTACTTGAACATTTATGATCTTTCACTCAATGGTTCGATGATCATCTGCGCATGATTGCTTTACAGCACTCCGAAAACATGCTCCTGTACCTTGTACACTTATAAAGAAAATCGAGAGTCCTCCTTCAACTTTGAGTACCCCTGAAGTCGAAGGAATTTCAGATGGAGATGAAGAATTTTATCAAGCGATAGTGTTGGTTCAGGCTATTATAAAAGGACGTGCGGCACAGATGCATGTACGTATTTATTTGAAGAAGCATCAAAGGCTAAGTTTTCATTATCCATAAAGGAAAGAATTACGTGAAAATTTTCTGTCACGTAAGACTCGTCTTTAAGTGACACTTAATTCATTGAATTTGAGTTAGTATTAAAATAATAACTCTTTTGTGGAATCACTATTTAAGTCACATTTTAATATTGCTATACCCTCACCGATTTTTCTCAGGATCTGCATATTCCTAAATTTTATAATATTGACCGTTATATCTTTTGGGGTCACAAGTGTTTTAATTTTGTAGTAATCCAAACATCCCCAGCTAAAATTGGAAATATGCGTAAAATCATAAACCTCGGAAAAAATTGGGAATTTGGCCGTAAAGTTCCTCATCGTAGGCTGTCATTTGCTGTCACCCTTCTTCTATGATTTTTAGGAAAAACCGTGATTTTACGACTATAACTCTTTCGCCACCTTTGACAACGAAAAATGCAGCTTATTAAATGTAAATCAATAATTATTTATAAAATCATAAAACCACTATTTCTGTGAGCGACATATACTTTCATGACACGTATAAGACACACACCATATTTCTAGACCCAAAACCTGCCGCATATTATACGGTCTACCCCGTTTTTGCAAAACAGCCAGCTATTCTCAACCCGCGCGTTTCACGCTAACATGAATATCCCAATGAAAAGATAAAAATTTAATATTTGTTAGGGCAAATTGACATACGAAAGAAAAACCGTCAGCTTTAACTAGATACCGTTTCGCTTTCAACACGCGTTGAAGAGGAAAAATGTACATGATGTTAAATTATGTTTTAATTTACTTAAGTTATTGATTATATCAAAAATGTGTTCACAAATTAATTACACCGTCGTGGACTGAAAGCAAACCCCGTATCACATACAAACAAAACATATTATATGAAATAAATTCAACACGCACATGTTCAATGCGATCAAATTCAAAATAAGATAGCTCGGAAAAAGTTCGACGAACTTCGAGATTTGAAACCAAATGTTCGAATTCAAACTGTAGATAAGAAATTATTAAACCTATAGAAAAATCCCCCTCCCGTTTTCAAATCCACGATTATATTAATTTAACAGATGATAATTTTCAAGGTACTACATAGAACCATGACCACTTACAAATCTTAACATGAACTGTCGAACTGTGTGATTTACAAAAAATAAAATAAACATGTTGACAAATTCGCCAATCTTTCACAACATTTCAGATTAGAAAATCGCCAATTAACTGTTCTTACACTAATCACACTCGTTGAAAAGGGCAGTGGCGTCGAAAGTGATTCAGTTTTGTTTAAAGAGTTGCCTTTTAGGAAAATTACGAACTAAATTGGACGTACCCTTAATTTTAACACTTGTTTTTGACTGCCCTGACTAAACAACAAGTGATGTGCCAAAAACAGAAAGTGAGTGAGTGCCCTTTTGGAATTCCACCTGTGCTGTTTTACAACACAACTTACAAACTTCCTAGAACTACCAACCCAAGAATGATTTTCTCGTTATTCCCCCAAATGCACTAAAAGACAGGTGATTGCCTGCGTTACTGGAATAATTTTTTTATTTTTGAAATGCGGTTTCACAGGGTTTTTATTTTAGTACGAAATTTAATTTTTCAAATCAAGACAATACGACAATTTAAATAGAATTTACTTGGGAAACTTTAAAGTGACATCATCAAAATTTTGGTGGGGATTTATAGCGTGGTGGGGCTAGACACACAAATTTTGATTGTTTTATTAGCGATCTATCTATTGGCTGCTGATAACTCATAGGATATGCTATTTTTACTTCCCGAGCGTAAGCGAAAGAAGTATTGTAATCGAGTTCGTCGGCCGACTCTCTACTTTTACATTTTCTCGACCTTTTATGACCCCTAGAGTACGAAGAAATGGGTGTTGTTTCCGTCTGTCTGTTTGTCTGCCGACCCGGATTTTTATTAGACAGTACTGGCCCGATTATTGTAAAATTTTGTATTTATATTAGGAATATCATGTAGATGGTAAAACGCTAACCAAAATTTGTCTAATCATCCCCACCCATAATGTGATGACGTCACTTCAAAATTGTACATAATAAATAGGTTTTAAATAGTATAAAATAACATAGTCCTACACATGTAGTTTACGACTCTGTGTTGAGTTTTTACCCGAAATGTCCAGGTTTTTGGAAAAAAAATCAAAATTATAAAACAACATTTTGCAATTTAATTTTGAATCTGCAAAACCGAATGCTTTGAAATCTTGTAGATGTTTTAAGGTTATGATGGGATGATAAATTTTTAATCAAAGTATATTTGCTTATCCCCTCCACAAAATTGATGACGTCAGCTCAAAATTTTGTTGAATAAATCCTATCTTACATGTGCAAAGTATGATTAGTCTATCCTTGTGATTTATCACTGAATTAATATTTTTTAGATTTGCTTATACAGGGTCTCAAAAAAATTGATGACTGAGTCAATTTATTTTATTGAATAAATCCAAGAATTGCAATACTGAATACTTTGAAATCTTGCAGACGTTTTGAATTTATTGTAAGCATGGTAATTTTTTAATCAAAATGCATCTGTTTATCATCCCCAAAAAATTGATTACGTCATCTTAAAATTTTGCTCAATAAATCCTATCTAAAATGTGCAAAATATGATCAGTCTATAGGTATTTGTAATTTATCATTGCATTCATATTTTTTAGATTTGTGACTCAAAAAAATTAATGAATCAGTCGATTTATTTTATTGAATAAATCAGTCAAGAATTGCAAAACTGAATACTTGGAAATCTTGCACACGTTTTAAAGTCATTGTAAGCATGGTAAATTGTTAATCAAAACAAATCTGTTTATTCCCCCCAAAAAATTGATTACGTTATCTCAAAATTTTACCGAATAAATTCCACCCAAAATGTGCAAAATATGATGAGTTTTTACTTGTGATTCATCATTGCATTAATATTTTTTATCGATCAAATTAAGTACAGGTCACCCCATTTTCCCGAAAATGTGAAAATACAAACGTCTTTATTTAATAAGAATTATTATAATGATCTTCAGAACATTTTGTCGATTGTAGCTTACCACTTAATAGTTTTGATCCTCTGTTTTGAGGGGACGAACTCATTCAATTCAAACTAATTTCTACGTGACATTCTTCCGATGTATAAACATAACATTTTCAAGTTGTTTTTCTTATCGAGGATCCGGTTATTGCAATTCGTAGAAAACATATTTTAGTTTAGTTTCTGTTTCACTCTCACGTCTACAGGTTGATAAGTGTTATCGCTATTTGTCTTAAATTACGAGTACAATAAATGATTTTCAGTTTAGTCTTCAGTCGCACCTCTGTTATTACATACGGCAGACGTGATTACATTGTTTCGTTATTTTATTTATTATGAATCACTATTTAAGCATAACAATAATATAATACTTTTATTATTAGTATTACAATGCATCTATCCAAACTGATATATGCATCCGTGCAAAAATGTGGATGACATCAACACAAAATTTTGTAATAGAAAAACTGACTTCTAACAAACGGTTAACACATTTCTTTACCTTTACATTAGACACATTTTTATTTTAGTTTATAATGGTTGCCATAAAAAACAATAAAATTCGCAAAATCAAATCTTTTAATTTTTCGGAAGAGCTGGATTTGACAAGCTGTACTTTATGGGCGAGGGAAGTTCTGTTGAAGTAATCTTCGACCAATTTTTTTAATTTTTTACTTCTTACGAAAAATTTTGAGGTACTATTTTGATTTTTTTTTTCGAATTTCTGTACATGCAAGATTAAAAATCTGGGTGCACTGATAAATCACAAGTGTAAACACATAATATTTTGCACATTTTTAACAGAATTTAGGTATCAAAATTTTGACACGAGATCATCAAGCTTTTGGAAGCGATAAACAGATAAATTTTGTCCGGCGGGGATTTACCTTGTTTGGAATAACATTAAAGTTTCTCTCACTCACCCACCATTTTAAAATTGATTCTAATCTGTTATAATGACTTTCTGTTCTACAGATAACAATGATTTTAAGATAAAATTTTAAAATAAAATTGATTTTAAACATCGACTTGAGTTGAAGTCGAAGAATGTGCGTACTCAAATATCAAACGGTTAAAAATGTGAAATGTAAATTTGGGTTGCTTATATTTTTGTCTATATACCACTATTCCATCCATCTATTAGACACTGTGTAAGTTGTACAGACAAAAAATCGTACAATAATAAAGTACAAATCAACTCGAATTCAATATCACTTTTCTAGATTTGGCTATAAAATCTATAGTTAGTCACATTACCAACAAGTACGCTAACCAACAATTTCAGATTTACGAAGGCCGTGAACGATGCCGTGAATTAATCCAGGAACTCAAACACTCATGCGGCCTGCTACAAGAAGAAAACGCGGAATTACACGACTACAAACTAGACATAAAATTACAACAAAGAGAAGAGCAAATTGCGACTGAAAAGGTTGTAATCTAAATAAAGTTTACCTTTTATTTACACCCATTGCAGCTTTACAGATTACAAGAAAGTCTAGACGAACTACAAAGCACTGTAGTTGGATCACTTCTAGATTTTCTTAACAAAGAACTGCGACGATTGTTGGAAGAACGTCGTGCACACGCAATCTGCATTATCCTCGAACGGGAAAGATATGACAGAGAAGCTGCTGAAGCCGGAAGACGACAAGTTGAAGTGAGGCGAAGACGTGAACACGATGAAATGTTTAAACAAATCGTCAAAATACAACAAGAAACCGTCGATATGTATCTTGAAGACATTATAAAAGAAGGAACGGAATTTACGTCTGACCAAGAAGCAAAAGAGTACGTGCAAAGGCTGGCGAGAAAAATTGACGAAGAAGCACAGAGGTTCAAAGAGGCGTATGAACACTTATCAACTTACCATACCCAATCTGTATTTCTTACTTATAACAATTTTAGAATGTACGTGAGCATGCATGAAGAAGAAGAAACAGTGGCAGATTTGGTGCATCACTTTGTTTTACCAGAAGTGGAAAAACAGTTAATACGACAAAAAATTCAAAAAAAGCAAAGAGAAAAACTGAAAACTATACACGACTTCGTTTACTCAGAAATTGAAGATGTGCAAATTAAAAAAGTAGAACACCCCACTAGCATACAGCGAAGCATGGGAGATAGTGAATATATCCACAGAAGTGTTGGAACAGCTCGGGAAATCTCAGCGACCCACATTGCCGGTTTGCCTGATAGTTCACCTTCTACTGCTGCAAGTAGCAGACCTCAAAGCGTACGTTCTAGTGTATAGAAACCATGAAGCAGTAGTGAACCTCACGATTTTGGTAAAGATATGCCTTAGAATCGTCAAAATTTCAGACAAGACACAGTTGGTTATCGCATGAATGGACATTTATTAAATTACCTAAAATACATAATTAAACTGGTTTGTAATCAAGCTTACTCTCTAATTTTTTATTGTCGGCTACTTTTCTGACGGCTTTCATGAAATCTTCTTGGATCACATATTCTCTCTCAGATCGAATAGCAAATAATCCAGCTTCTGTGCAGACATTTCTGAAAAAAATCGAGATATATTTATCTAAACACCTCACGTAATTTTTAAGCACCCTTACATTTTAAGCTGTTAAAAGAGCAGTGAACTAGAATTTATTATTTTATAAAAGCCAATAATTTACACTATTCATAAAATTACACAAGTAGCTTTCAAAATACTCCGTTGGTGTGGCATAGTGTGGAAAGAGATTTAAGGGAATGTTTAAAAACAACTCCAAATTGGCTCATTTTAATCAGAAAAGTTATAAAAATTTGCTTAACAAACAAAAACAAAACTAACAATACGTTAACGATTTGTTTTCCATTGTTTTTAGACTATACCGGGTGTCCCACGTAACACTTTCGGGCGCAATAACTCAGGTATTTTTGAATGGATTTTTATGAAATTCAAAACAGGTGTAATATAATAGGTAAGGATTAGGCTGATAACAAAAAAACTATTTTATCGTACAAAAAACGAATTTTAACACAGCTTAAAAATTATTCAAATCACTGTTTTTGTTTAAAAGAATTACGTTAACAAAAACACAAAAATTAATCAATTTGTTTTTTTTTAATTTAATAGTGCCTGCGTCGCCGAGTTCAATTTTGTACACCCCTGACATCTTTGTCAAAATCTGACAAGTTATTGAAAATGGTTCGCTTTTCTTTAATTATTAAAACAGAAATCATTTTAACCTACGGAGAATGCCGTACAGAACTAGATGAAACAATGAGGACTCTTATCGAACGGTATCCCGATGACGAATTTACCAAATTTAAAGTGCAGAGAATAATAAACTTATTGGAAGATACGGGAAGTGTACACGACCTAAAACGAGTGAAAAAAACAATATGTTAAATACACTTAGCAAAATTATTTCCATTCAAGTTAGAATTAATTCCTGAACCTAAAGCAATTTTGCACCTTCGAAAAGGTTGTAACCGAGCAACTGAAAATTAGTATTTTCTTAAAATTCATAAAATAACGCTTGGCAAACAGGTATCGAATTCCCGCAAGGGTGTCCCAAATGCGAGGAATGCAGTTTTTTGTTCCATAGCTACCTATCCTTTAATACTTTCTGGAATTATTTGCGCAATAATTTATCGTTTTTTGTCTAACCAGACGTATTTCGGAGATGAATTTTTGCATACAGTATTTATTTTTCATGTTTAATCAAGTGATGCAAAACTTAATTAATTCAAAATTAATTTAAGGCATGGAAAATTTACTTTTTTAAGATAATGATTATTCATATTAATCCTCACCTATCAAAATACCTACATTTCAAACTTCATAACAACCCGTTCAAAAATACCTCAGTTATTGCGCCCGAAAGTGTTACGTGGGACACCCGGTATACTATTTAGTATAGATAATAATTAGAATACGTCAGAGAATATTTTAGTCTTTGTAAAAATTCTATTAAAAAAGTCGGGATTCCTCAACTTTTTTTATGTTGAATGTGCAAAACCTTTTTAAGAAGTAATAAATCCGTTTTAAAGTATTAATTTAAAATTGTTCCATTTTTAAAGTGTCATAACTCAAAAATTCCAAAACTACTAGAAAAGTAGTTGTCACTGTTTACTGTTTACAAAATTTTAAATTCTGGTTTACTGTCACTTTCACGTAATATGCTACCATATATTTCAACTCCACATTTTGTGTGTAGAGTGTTTTAAATACATTGATTTAGGTAGGATACTTAGTTAAACTTTACTGTATTTGATTTGCAAATAATAAATCATTAGGACACACCATACAACTGTATGATCTTTTAGTATATAAGACCTCACAGCCAACTGTGAGCAGCCTTTATTATGCAGTATATACTGTTTCTAATCACAAAAATTTCATAAAATTTACCTTAAGTCAGCTCCATTGAATGTGTCTGACAACTTAACAATTGCTTCATAATCAATTTCTCCATGTTTGGCAATAGGACCTGCATGAATTTTTAAAATTTCGAGACGTGCTTGTTCATTGGGTAGAGGAATCTCAATTTTTCGATCTAAACGTCCAGGACGCAATAAAGCAGGATCCAATGTGTCTGGTCGATTTGTTGCCATAATCATTTTAACCTAAATTAAAAAAAAAATTACGTATACTTAACAGCTGCACAAACATACTTGACCAAGAGAATCAAAACCATCCATCTGATTTAATAGTTCCATCAACGTGCGCTGAATTTCTCGATCAGCTGATGTACCCTCAGAAAACCTCCGTCCACCAATGGCATCAATTTCGTCCATAAATATAATACAAGGCTGATGATCTTTTGCATAATTAAACATTTCTCGAATCAATCGGGCGGATTCACCAATGTACTTGTCAACTATAGCACTTGAAACAACTTTTAAGAAATTTGCGTCTAGCTGAGATGCAACAGCTCTTGCTAAGAGCGTTTTTCCAGTGCCGGGTGGACCATAGAGAAGGCATCCCTTAGGAGGTGTGATTCCTACTCTCATGAATAACTCAGGGTTTAAGAGAGGCAATTCTATTACTTCACGAAGTTCGCGAATTTGTTCAGATAAGCCTCCAATAGCCGAATATGTAACATCGCCAGGATCTTCATGACTCATGTTGTAAACGAGAGGATCAACTTCTCTTGGTAAATAACGCATTATTGTCAAAGTGGTCATGTCAAGGGCTACTCGAGTTCCTGCTTTTAATTTAGTCTTGTCAAGTTGTCGCCGACAGCCAACAACGTAACGTGGACCATTGGTAGCTTTTACTATGACTAAACAATTGGTTTTATTAAATGTTATCCTTATATACAAGAATACTTACACTTTTCCTCAGTTAACTGCTTCAGGACCTCACCAACAATTTGACCCATGCTTTGCAAAGCTTTCAAGTCATTTTCTGATTTATCATATTGCTTTGTAAGGTCTTTAAGTTGTTCCCTCACTATTTAAGAAAGTATTTGTCAGTGTTGTGGTACAACTTTAATAAATAAAAATGTTTTAAGTACACTACTTACTTTCTTTCAGGCGGGACTCAACCTCCTTGTGTTCCACTAACTTCTTCCTGTACTCTTGGAGAGACTTTTCACGTTCAGGTTCTGATTGTGTCATTTTGAATTCGTTTATTAAAAACTTTCAAAATATGAGCACAGCAAAACTGTTCGAAAATTGAAAAAGTTGAATGACTGGCACAACACTGCAATTTTGTGTTTGACAGTTTTGAGTTTTGACATTGACAACCGGTCTTAGGGAGTTTATTTTTTAGTTACGTATTTTATTGTTACTTCTTATGAACAGGTGAACATAACAAACCGTGAGACGAAGAGATGAACTTATTTCTAAAATAATTGTATTTTGTGTAATACAGGTATAACAATATTTATTTTTTATTTTCTCTTTATATCTGGGGTTTGTTGATAAACCGTGGTTGGTATTATTAATTGGTGTTGTGTTGTCACGGTGGAGAAAGGTTGTCACTCCTGGCTGCTGTCAAATCAAATTTTGCTGAAATTGTGATAACCTGCAAGATATAAGTTGTATTAAATAAAAACTACTGTTGAACCTACATACATAAAAGCCCTAATAAAATTATCTGAACACGTAATTATTCAAATACATCGTTTTTTTAAATAAATATTAATTTATGTGCTCACTTTTAGCTCAAAATGACTTCACCTGGAACGGCAATAGACTCTCTAAATGCAGCCCTAAAATGTAATATTATACCAAATCAAGAATACTTATTACAAGGCTCAGTATTAGACCAATATGTTGAGGTTTTGCTCCATCGTCTGAGAGGATTGTGCGACAATGTGGACAGTGGTCCAGAATCATTCCATGATCATGAATTGTACTTTGTCTTAAGGGCAACAAATACAGGTGGCCCAATGGTACTACCCCTGCGTGTTCGTCGAGCTCTAGATGTGCCAGATGCCCCATGGCAATTAAGATATGTGGGTCAACAAGAACTGGGTGATAAAAATAGGCCTACAGTCGTTAGGTCTAGTATTGATATGGCGTGCAGTTCAACTATTGTGGAGTTCCTAACTGAATTAGGTTGCAGAGTGGAATTTGAATATATTGCAAGGGGGTATATGTTTCGGAAGGGTAGGATGAAAATTACTGTCTCAAAAATTTTCAAAATGGGAAATATTGCAAACAAGTCAGGTGAAGGAGTGGAGCCTATTTCACAAAGTTACTTGGTGGAATTGTCAGTGTTGGCACCATCAGGACAGGATGCTATTGCCGAAGATATGAGAATATTTGCTGAACAGTTGAGGCCGTTGGTGCAACTTGAAAAGATTGATTATAAACGTCTGGGAAACTTACCATAGGTACAGTGGTTATAGGTGTGAACAAAAAAGACTTATTTATAAAAATATAAAATATACTTAAGACAACTTTAAAAGAGTAGCTTCAAATCTTTCCATATTTAAACGTAAATTTTTATCATATCCTACTCCTCGCATTCTTTCCACGTTAACAACTTGTTGCTTAATGCGAGGAATTAAACTTTTTAAGCTAGTGGGAATTACTCTGGATAAATGCCCCAACAATTGAAAATAATTTGGTGTATTAAAAGCAAGGTGCTTCTCAGTGATGCCTACAATAACTTGCTCAATTTCTGATTTCACCTGAGGATAAAGTGGTGATGATGTTATGTTTTTAACAATAGACACAGCCATATTACGTTGATTATGAAACATTATCACCTCTAATAAACCATACAACGTTTTATTTACAATTAATTTTAGTAATACTATTGATGTTGTACTTTGCACAAAATCATTAATTAACTTTAAAGACTTAAAAATATTAGATTCAGCTTCTTTGGTTGCCTGCTTGAAAAACGCATTTGCAAGTTTATCTAAAATAACCTCTGCAGTAAATTCATTATCAAGGCACTTTAACATAGGCGAATCTACAGTTGCAAAATGGGGTATATATCTAATAACCAGTTCTCGCAAAATTCTATCAATGAAGGCATCATTTGGACTGTTTAGTTTGACAGTGGCCTCAAAAAAGAGATGCCAGGTTTTTTTGATGCTTTGTAAAATGAATGGATTGAGAGGTTTCCCCAATATTAGCTCAGTTGGAAGTAACAAAGAAGTTACCAAACGTGCAAACGGACAATTCGATTTATGTTTGTCATACAGTAAAGGTCCAATTTTGAAAAAAGCTAAACCTAGACAAGTGTAAATTCTTAAAACAATACCCTCGTTGTCAGGTTGGCTAAAATACTGCGTTGTCCAACGTTCAGCTTGACCAAAGAAAATTTCGCACAACTTACTTAGACTAGATGATTGAACATGTGTCTTAATATCACCACCAATGCAATCAAGAAACGCACAAAGTGGATCTCTGGCGGGTGCAATTGCAGTTTTGATGAATTGAGGTATGATATCTAACTTGATAATGTTCCTTGTTAAATCTTCATACCCATCTCGCGTTAATAAACAAAATTTTACCCAAGTTTGTAGTGCCATCGTCTCTTGCTGTGGAGTTATAATAAGTGAATGGGGATAATTTTCTAAAATAGTACAAAGAAAATTTGCAGAAACTTTTGGTGTGACAGTTTCACTATTAAAAAACACAAAAGCTTCTGCTTGCAGATTTGGCGATAAAATTGCAATTTTTGCCGCCAGAGTGCCACATGTTTCTGGTGTACTACGTGAATATTTTAATGCTGGGTAAACATAATTTTTGAAACAAAACTCCCAATCACCCCAAACATCTTCCTTGGTAATTCTTTCAATTATGCTTAACAACACATTTAATAGGGTGACCATATCTGGATAATAGCATGAACTCATATACTTGTGGATCCAACTGTTCAGAAGAAGCCATTGATGAAGCTGAAGGTTAGCAGTTGAATTCATAATGCAGTCAAAATCTTGTACAAAATTTTTGATCAAGTGGAACAATCGATGATCTGTGGATGATTCTTCTAACATTTTTATAAATGGTACTGTTACAGTTTCTATGTTGCGATTTTCTCTTAAGTGACGCACCACCTAAAAAAATATATGTAAATTTAGATAAGCCTTAATTAGCAATACTTACAAACGCGGTATAAAAACGCCAAATCAGTTGACTTTGTTTCTTTTCCATTGGTAAATTTTCAATGAAAGAAAGAAATTTTTTTGATAATTCATCAAAATTAACTTTGGTTAACGATAAAAACAGCAGTAAGACATTAAAGATTCCGCCACTGTTGAGATCCTTTAGTTTGTTTGGACCCAGTTGTGAATAAATCCTTCCTTTCATTTTTCCCCAATGATAGGTATGTTCATTTAAATGCAAGGATAACATTGCTAAGAACAATTCAAAGTCGTGTGTGCAATCTTTTGGTGCCCACAAGATTGTATCAATTAATTCAGTTAATTCCGGTAGTGGCAAATTGGTATTTGCTCTTGCAGACACATTAAGTCTCTTACTATAGTACTCCCATAACATTTGATAGACTTCAATTTTAGACGATTTCAACCACAAATTACAGACAAGTGGTTCAATTGATTTTAAAGTGGGCAGAATTGAGTTTCCAAATTCTACATTAGTTATTACGTTTTTCAAAGCACTTTCCAGTAAAACAAAATTTGGTCTTATTCGGTCACTTGCAGCTCCTACATATTTCCCATTTAGATCAACAGCTTGTAAGTCAGCTACATCATGAAGCAACCATAAAACAAAGTCGCTGTTACAATTCTCAACAACTTTATTAAATATTAACCAGAAGGTATCTTCACCCAACAGTTTTTCACTTAAGACTTGAATGATTAACCAAAAATCTTTGTTACAAGCACAGGAAAATGCTGTATCACTCCTTTGTCTAAACGCACTTTCACTCAACACAATTAAATCCTTCATGATACAAGTTATGTGATCTCGAAATTCCTCACTGTTTCGAGTAAGATAATAAAAAAGCAGTACATAATACTGCACATCTTGAAATGTGTGAAAATAGTGATATATTGGACACTTATCTTTATTACATGAAGGACCAGTAAGTTTTAAGTAAATTTCCTTTTCTACATCAGAAGTGGGCAAAATTAATGGAAGTAATGTTTTGATTTCATTTTGAAAAAACGCTACATACTTCTGTTTAAGCCTGTCACTTTCACAACGTTGCAAAGACAAAACAATTAAGTTAAAACACTTGTTTATTATCAATCGTGTATCTGCTAACTCACGTGGGGGGATTGCTGTTCCATTTAGAACTGAATTTTGTAGATAACACCAATTTTTTCGAACAATCCTTATGATGACATCAATTTCTTCTAAAGCAGCAGTACTTTCGTAGAGTTGGCCACATATTTCCGTTTCTGTTTTTGTGTAATCTTCGCTTTCTACATTCAGAACTTTCAATAAAGATTGTAAAGGGTTTCTTACATTTTTGATATTGCAGTCAAAAACAGTTGTAGTCATGATGGTACTTAAAAAGAATCAAATAATCTTGACGATGTTCACTTATTATCAGCCTGTTTACATTTATTATTGTTATTATATAGTAGAGCAAAGAACAAAGCTACATTGGGGTTAGAATAAGAGACAGAGATAACCTTTAAATTTTAGTCCCGCCAAAAAATAATTAGTAATCCTAGATTTCTTTGCTGTTAAGTAATTCTTTAATGTATAGATGGCGCCATCAACATTAGTTTTGTAAGATGGCTAATAAGACTTAAGTACGGTAAACTTTCCACATGCACAAATGACAGAGAAGAACCTATCAGCAACAACTTGCACATTTTTAGTGTAACAGTAACGACGCCAGTAATCCAATCAAGTTAAATGAAATTGAACTTGTTCGTAAAATTTTCAACTTTAAAGCTTCAATATCTTCGCATAAAGAATTCTCCAGAAAGTGTTTATTACTTTTTACTCTTTCTCATAAAAAGTTTTAATACCAAATGAATTAATAATACATTTATTAGACATTTTTTACAAATATTTTGATTTTGAATTATTGCCTTCAAATTTCCCTAACCACACAACAAGGAACAAAACATAGAGTGAAATCTAACAGTTTTATTTTTAAAGTAATTACACAGTAACGTGTTACATGTTTACTAATTAGCATCTTAAGGAACTTGACAGTCTTCAATAAGAACTCCTTTCGTTTGAAGAACTGGCACATCTGTGCCCATATCAGAACATCTAATTTTATTGACACGAAGATCAACAAATTCTTCGATCACTACATTCTTCAAGACATCAACTTTCCACTCTTTTATTTCATTATAACTTAAATTAAGGTAGTGTAAACTCGCTAAACCAGCAAAAGCAATATCAGAAATATTTTTGATGTGATTATGATCTAGTTCTACCAAGCTACCTTCCGGAACATTTTGAAAGCCTTGTGCAGGAATTGTCTCAATATCGTTATAAGAAGCATCGATTATAATTTTTGGTAATCCAAGAAACCATTTACTATCCCATTCCTTCAATTTGTTATGCTGAATCTCGATAAGTGATAAACTTGTCATATTATTGAACGCTCCAGCTGCAATCACAGAAATCTTGTTGCAGCTCAGATTTAGAATTCTGATTCTGGAACCATTGAAAACTCCCTCTGGAACTTCTTGAATTTTGTTGCCAGATAGGTGTAGTGAATCTAGGTTTGGTAAATTGTTGAAATCGCCTGGACGAAGTACGGAAATAGAATTGTTAGCTAAACCTACACCTTGTATGTAATTGTTGTTAAACACTTGTGAATCTATTGCTTCAAGATTGTTGTTAGCTAACCACAAGCTTATTCCAAATTTGTCCTTTGCAAACATGCTTGCAAAAGTTCCAGGTTCTAAGTTGGATATAGCGTTTTTCTCTAAATTGAGGATCCAAAGATATACATTCTGAAATACTCCCTTTCGAATTTCTGTTATTTTGTTTTTGCTAAGATTCAGTTCTCCAACATTTGATAGGTTTTGAAAAACCCCTGATTCCAAAGACACAATAGTGTTATTTCCAAACTGTAAAGAAGAAGCGTTTAAATTAACAAAAGTTCCATTTCTGAGTTCATGCAAATTATTATCATGCAAATGCAACTTTCTGAGGTTTGACAGGTTCCTGAAAGTCCCAGACTCAATTTCCTTTAAGCCTACATTTGGAAGAACGACTTCGACTAAATTAGAAATGTTCTTGAAAGAATCTTCGTGCAGAGTTCTGATTGTACCTTCTATTGAAATTCGCTTCTTTTCAGTGGAATTTTGAGGACAACTGTCTTTTATTTTATCTTCCCCAACATTTGTGAACGTATATGTTGCTTTAATTATCCAAAGATTGTGAGCTAAACAGTCGCAAGTTATATTAGCACTGTCTACATGTTCTGAAGCAGTGTGCTGATCACAAAATATAAGCACAAAAAACAATGTACGAACTATAAAAACAATTTTACTGGAAGTGTACTGCATGACTTTTTCAAGTTTTATGTTGTTCGGGCGGAACAATTTCTTTATTATATGATTACTGCGATAGTCTGAGTTCAAAACATTAGGTTATCATACAGTATTATTCCTATGCACCAATGTAAAAATATGACGATTACCCGCATTTCGCAAACAGGGTACGAAAATTTGAAATTTGCTAGTTCTCTACATTGATTAAATACATATATATGTATTTAATTAATGTTCTCTATAAACTGCAGTATACCCAGTTTAAAATTTGAATTTCGAGCGCAAAAACTAACAACTAATCCGAACACAAAGTTGTAACATGGCATGTTGATCCAAAAATAACAAAAAAAAACTAGGTGCTTAATGAATGCTTTAATTAAAACTAACTTTTTGATAAAAACGTCATGCTATTACATACTAGACACATAATAGAATTTTGTCTCTAAAATTTGTCTCATTATGACAGCGACTTTTTTTTATTTCGTTGTAAATCCGAAGTATTGCAAATTAAATATTAAAAATTAAGACGCGAAATTTAATTAAAGATTACTAATTTCTTATACCGTTTCTATGGTGCAGTTGTTAAATGTGCTATAAAATATGTTCTCTATAAAGTAGATACGTCATCAGTGGTAATATACCTACTTTATCGTTATTTAAAATACGCTGGTGCATTTTTTTTTCTTTGTATTTTATTGACTTGTTATCATAGCACTCACAACATTATTAACATAAACAACTGTTTACTTGGAATAACATTGGATGGAAAATGACTTCAAAACGATTATTTTAAAGAAATGTATGATATTCTAATAATGTTAAAAACAGTCTTGGAAACAACACGTGTTTTATAGTTTAAAACTCTCAATCTTCTAACTACGAGCGACAAAGGAGTGAAGATTTATACTGGCACAACAGATATAGTGGTTTTCATGATTTTGACTTTCCCGAATCTTTCGTCTGTGAACAAAGAGCATCTTAAACTAACATCGCTGAAGATAAGCTGCTCCTATTTAGGAAAAGCATGTCAGCTAAATACAAGGAAGAACCTGTATTGAATGATGTCATAAATTTTTATCATTCGTTGATAAAGGTGGTCAATGAGTCAAAGCACTATATCTCTTGTGTGAGCATACGAGCTGCAATCTCACATTTTAAACTGTATATAAAACCTTAGTTGTGCTCATAATTATAAATTTTAAGATCTGAGTGTAAGTGATCGCGGTGTGTTTTCTATTCGGTAGGTAGTCAGCTCACAACAGACTCGACAAACACTTATTAAATATACACTTTTCGACAAAGATTCTTCTAGGAAGGAATTAAATGAGACTATTGCTCTTATTAATGAATATACTGTAATGTCAAGGATACAGTTTTTAACTATTAAACCTTAGGTACTTGATAAAACTAACTGCTTCTGAAATGACTGTGCTAACTAATCGCACCGCCATGTTTAGACTAGTCGGTACGTGGCCTTAATATGTAGTATATAATACTTCAATTTCATATACTGAGCTGTATTTATGCAATAAATCATCTTCATTCACATTAGTTTAGGTTTTGTTTCTTTTTTCGAGTCGTATAAACATCTCAAAAATATTCCTCAGGTCGCCACCCAGTCTTCCTCATCGTATTTTCCTGGTTTTCCTTATACCAAAGCTGATTGTAGATGCAGAGAAAACAACTTTAACACTTACTATGTCATAGTAATCATAAGTAGTATACGGAAATTGTAGGTATTTAGTGTATTACCAATTTCTACATGAAACTTCGATTTTTGCCGGAAATGACAGACATTCAGGCAAAACTTCTATTATTACAGATACTAAGACCAAGTAATGATATGCAGCGATTAGATTAATAACATAACTTTCGAGATCCTATTGAATTACAGCAAACAAATTCGTCTGTTATTGTTGTCTAATCTTACCCCATCTCCAAGAGCCTAGCGTAACTACATTTGTAGATATTTTGAAATTTTGGTGTGTTATGTTTGTATTATGTTGTGTATGTTAAGAAAAGCAATGTCAATGAGAACAGCTTCATTGACGTGTTTCTTTATAAATGTGTTATCTGCTCTGTTGGCTGAAATTAATAAGTCTGTAAGAATTGTGGGATCTCCATATAGCTTGTATTCAGTGTTTTCAAGGAATGGAGACGGAATGTAATGTAATAGGATGCCGGATCTTGTATTAAGTTCAGACTTGTTGATAAGTTTTTGTGGAGATTTTGAGCTGAGTTGTTGGTTTGTGTCAGAATCTTACAGGATGAAATTATGTGCTGAATCGTGTCGGTTTTTTTTTTACAAAGTCGAGAACTACAATCGTTTCCTGTATTTAAATCTTTCTTGATATATTTTCTGTAATTCTTGGTATTATATTAAATATGTACTTGGTCTTGAACAGCAAACAAAAAATACAAAATACTCTTTTGTTTCGACATACAAGCTTGATTTTTTTATCAATTTGCATCAAAAATTACTATAAGATCCTTATGAGATTCGAGTTTTCCAATATATTATTGATAGATGATCCAGGACGATGGTTTACGTGCATAATAATTTATGAAGGTTTTGTGTAAATTGGCCGAACGATGATAACAATTATTGTCGAGTAAAAAGTCGGAAAAAATCATGCCATCTGAAAGCTTGACTGCATAAAACATTAGAATATCGGACAATGCAAATGTGTTTTGTTTCATTGTTGTCTGTCGTGTATTATTATTATTAAATAAATCTCTTAAAAATATGTTTTGTAAATAGGTTTTTCACTTACGTACTTCTGTTTGAGCGAATTTTAGAAGTTAATTGACTTATTTTAATGCATAGGATTGAATAAAGAGTGTTTGTAATATTTTTTTGGGTAATACTGAAATAAGTTAAATAACACACATATACAACTTCATTACGCCAGACGAATAATCCGGACATAGATACTTAATGCCACCCATGCGAAACCAAGCCAGGTTGCTAGTGTTAATAACTTATTAATAAATATATTTAAGAGCAGGGGACCCAGAACTGATCCCTGGCGAACACCAGAAAACTGTTAATACCTTGAATACACATACTACGTGTTAAATATACCTATTTAAAGTAAGGAGCTAACCCGTTCAAGAATCCAGAAAATTTCATTTTATCTAATAATATACTCTGTTCATGCAATCAAATGCCTTCGCAAAATCTATGTAAATCACATCCGCTTGGTTTAATTTATCAAGATTTTCGAGATATATTTGATTTTATGTCAGGAACACGTCCTTCAAGTTTTTCGCATACCTATATTAGGAATCATCTTATACGTTCTAAACAATTAACTTAGTTTAATCTAGGAATTTATTGAAAGTCCCGCTTTTTCGAAGCAGGACTTGTAACACAGTAGACTTAAAATTTGCATTAAATTCTATCATAATAAATAACTTACTTGACAAAGTTATTTAAATAAATGCCAGAGATTATTTCTTTGCTTGTTTTGACTTATTTTACTTGACTACGTATTAATAAATAATTCATTCTCTTTCACCAGTAAATATAATTGTTTAATGAACCTTTATTGTTTAAACTTCTTGTTTGTTACCTTGCTATAAGAATTTACTTAATTCAGAGTCGCACTTTACAGTCATAGCGTTACATATAGCATTCCGAATCCACCGTATCAATGTCCAGTTTTTTTATGTAAACAATACTAAATATAGATAACATTCATACCAAAAGAATTCATATCGATTTTCTAAAATTTTATTGAGTTGTTCAACCGAAGAATATTTTTGGCGACTCAACTATACCTACCTACACAGACTGTGGCCCTTTCCTTTGTTTGAGGCTTTTTTTTATAAAAAATGTTTAGTATAAAATCTCTTAATACTAAAATATGGCAAAACGCCTTTTTCAGTTCCATTCTTACGGGGTTGCTAACGGTAGAACTTGAAAACGTATGCGACTATGTACTTGCTGACAATATAAAAATCTTCACGGGAATAATTTTTATATTGAATTAGACGTTTTTTGACTTTGTAGAGAATAATATTATCACTTACTCGGGAGTAATTTATTTTTTTTTAAACTTACGTAATACTTTATTTAATGTTCTGATGACAAGTCTTAATTCCCTTTGCCGTATAACGAGAAAAATAAGAATATCGTTCTAAATATGTGTTATTTGAGACAAACACTTTTTTACTTCTCAGTTTGTTTTACTTCTATCGGAAGGTAATGAAAATCACTGCCAACAAGTAAACTATTTATTTAACACTAGTTTTGGCCCCAGGCCAGACAACTCAATAACAATAATTATAGAATAAACTCCCTATGATTTACTTACTTCGGCCCCAGAACAAACGACTCAATAATTATCATCGTGCAAAATTTGTAATTTACTTTGACTGATCAGTAGCCGTATGCTACTCATAGTTCCGTCTAGTATTCAGTCTACTAATGGTGATACTTATCTTTACATCACATTGCAGTAATTAGTGTTAAAGCGTCCAGTTACTTCAGTTCGTATCAGTAGTTTCAGAAGAGTAACTATTATATATGTAGTAACGACTAACTGTTCATACTAATTCTGTAGGGGAGTTTTTATTTAAACATTGTTTTTTTTTTGTGCATAGGAAAGCGAATTATGAGTAGTCAACTTTCTAACCTGTTAATTAATTGTTACAATTTTTTATTGCCCCCTCAAGTTAATATATCGGCGACGCCTATGGACAACAGTTTGGAATGCAATCACACTCGCCGACTACACAGCGATAAGAACCTCGTACTGGATATAACCAGTTTCGTACATATTCTACCTAAAAATAGTATCTAGTTATGCTATAATTAAAACACAAAACTTCTCTCTGAATGAAACTGTTATTACGTTTATGTAACTATATGAATCACGGACTACTGAGGAGGATGAACTGATGATGGGAAATTTAACTAATTAATCACTGTCATTAATATTTTTGTACTGTTTACAGTGTTATAAATAGTTTCCAAGTATAACTGTCGTATTTTAGCGACAATACTATTTCACAAAACAGTAAGGCGGTTGCCGCAAAAAAGAACTTGTAACGTACGTCAAGATTTGCATTTAAACAATACGAAATGCGTACACGCTCAATCGGAATTGAAATGACCCGATTAGATATCCAACATGTGAAATTGTAAAAACTAAAAATTGAGAAAGTTCATCACACCTTAAGTGTTTTACGCTATATTTTGCCAATGAAAGGTCCGCATCATTACGTAACGATGTGAAATTTTAACGTATTTCGGTGATTTTTATCGCCTTGTATTTCACTTTTTACGGGGGAAGCCACATTTTTTTTGATGATGCTGTTTCCGAATCTAAAGAACCACAAACAAATTGTGCTAATTGTTGTATGTTTAATTTGTAATAGTTCATAGAACTGGCTAAATCTTTATTATAACAAATATAGTCATCCCAGTTGCGCAATATCCAACCGAAACAATTTATAGGTACTAAAGTAAGTTATGACACAGCACGTTCTGACGCAATTAAAAATTTTTTTGAAGAATGATGCAACATTTCTACATCTAGTTAATATTTCGTCCATGCCCCATGGGCATGGGAAGTGATATTCAAGGTTGTTTTTGCGAAGGTGTCATAGAGCAAGACGCCGACTATTGGCCTATCCTATCCTATTCTACCTGTATAAATATTATGTACCCACGTGTGAGAGGCGGAAGGTGTGGTAGACGTTGAATTTCTTGCAATGAATATTTGGTTTAACCAGGGCTGGCTTTCAATAAAAAATTACCGCAACAAAAATCGATTAATTTGCACCGAATATACCTGATAAGATTTAAGCATCTTTTGAAATAGGTCATCAGTTTTTTGGGGGTAAACCGACAACTTTTGATTAGATTTTTATCATTTTTGCAATAATCTTCAATATAATACATGATAATACACTTATTACAACTGAGTTATACAGACACACTTTATCGCGCAGCTAATGGGTTCTGTGATACAGTAATATTTTATTCACCTTCTTTAATTATAAAAATTTAAGAGCCGGTTTCTACTGGCTCTTAAAATTTCAAACTAATCGGTTTGGTGGTTTTTGAAAAATATAACAGACGAAGGCGGACGTATTTGAAGAAAACATTGAATTACACACTCCCTCAAATATTATTACTGATACAATACTTCCTAAAAAATTATTTACAGTGTTTAGCATTTTACAGAAATTCATAATATTCCAGTACGGTCCTGTGTCACCCAATTGGCTTACGATCCATGTTGCATAGCCTACGGTATTCTTTCTTGAACATAATGCTAGTGGAAATTTCCACGACGGTCGCAGACTGTTGGTGTCAGCAAAAGAATGTTTCAGTGGCGTACTGCGAACTAATGATTCATATCGCAATAAAATATTAAAATTGCGGCTTTGTAATCGTATCATAAAAATTTATTCCTGTGAAAAATGCGTATCCTATTTC